ATAAAAGTCTGCTTTGTTTATGCTTAGGGCCAGGTAAGACCCTCCTGTGTCCTCATACATCACACAACACTGTTTTATCTCTGTGGTTTTGCCATCACTGTTGTAGGTCTGCAGTACCTCTCTGGCTCCCCAACTCCCCCCCTTTTATTCGCCTGGTGCTTCAGGGAGCCACCCACACCAATCAGCAGACGGCATATGATCCTCTAACTCAGAAACACACTCACCTACACCATATAGCACAGCTGAAGGAAGGCTGAAAGTACCAGCTTGTGTGTGTTTATATATACACCAAGTCCAGAAGGCCCTTGAAATATGCACAGCAGTCCCATGCATAATACATGGGCACAGCAGGAGAAAAGAACTTGTGAGCTGAGAGGATCTCTGCCTCTCCATCTCCTCAAACCACCCCTCCCATCTTCTTCTCCGCTTTCCCTGCTCTCCACAACGCTGTCTGCTGATACTGCTGTGCATATGTCTTAAATAACAACTGTCTCTCAGGGTCAGCTGTGGGACAAGAATTGTAATGGAGAGGGTGCATGGAGGCTGGGGAGAAAGACGGATAGATGGCAGCAGGAAAAGAGAATGAGGTGAGACTGTGCAGACACAGTGAAAGACTGTGGTTAGAGATGATCTCTTTGGCTAACAATTTAGAGTACGGTGTAACGTCCAGCAGTGGTCAGCTTTTAGGTACAGTTTGACCATTCAACATCTGGTCAAAAAGGAGGCACAAGACTGTATGTGTTCCCTTTAAATTGGCCTGCCTTCATCCCATCAGCTGGAGCTCAAGAGTCTCTGCAGCTCTGAACACAGATAACGAAATGTCAACAATAACATTCTTTCCTCAAGGTTCAATCTTTCAGGACTCTTCTTGCCTCCATGTAAGGAACACTCGCAGCCCCGATTTCCTAAATTAGATATGAACTTCTACAACTTATAAGCTTGATAATCATTAAATAAACGTTTGTTTATCGCTATTTATAATTATTATAATATAATGAAATGTTTCATTAACCTGTGCTCAATGATTGAAGTTTGAAATTAATGTTATGATTATGACTACAGTGATTGAAATATGTTTCTGCATGTTTACATGACGAGGTCATCACCATTGGCACTCGCACAAGAACAAGTAAGGTTAAGTTAAACTCTGACACATAGATAGTCCTTTACCCCAGTCAGAGCATCCGCATCAAAGAAGGCGTGTTTCTGAGTTTCTTGGTAACATTTTTCAAGCCTGTCAACCTTTGGTTGGCTACACAAATCATAACATGAGAACATCAAAAGTGGATCACTCTCGGGTGATCTCTCGGTTCTAGAGAAAGCTTCAGACCGGCTGCCTGAAGCAAAACCTCTTTAACCATCAAAGCTTTTGACACGTCGTCAAAACCTTTTTGCACCTGCGACGCTGATACCGAAACAGTTCCCGCAGAACAAGCTGATAATGTTCTGACTCCTTAAGAGTCCGCCAGATGTGCGGTTCCATCCGTCTGTTGTGACCTGGAGACAACTCTAAGACCGGTTTAGTGGGGCCGCAGTTTCTTCTACGGACCTCGGTGCCTGGAAGTCCGAGGACTTCGACATTCCGGATGTATCACGAGGGTCTCCGAGAACGGGTAGACACACAGATAGCGTCTGATGTGTTTTGATAACAACCTACTCCATAGCTTAACGCAACCCAAATTCTTCTACTTCCAT